CCCCCCCGAATCCCCATCCCACCTCAGACTACCAAATCATTTCACTAAACATTATGAAAAATTAATGCTTTTTTAATAAAAAAAAACGTACTTGGAAAAAAACACTGCATCACTTGAAGATCATGCTCATCATCAAGCCTCATCATATTATCTGTATTTAGCTTTTAAATGACCAGCACCTGCCTGGGTCTGTGCGACCTCATCTATGGCTTTTCTCTTCACTTTCACAAACCGATCCATCTCCCATTCTAAGTTACGTCCTTTGGCTGTTTACGGTTTTATTTATTTTCTTTTTCTGCTGATGGCCCACGCTCGACTTGAAGCAGCTCTGCTTAGATTGATCGTGTGTGTCACCAAAGTACTGCAAGAGCTATAAGAGAGCACGGACGTCTCCTTATGCTTTCTCTCGCTCGCCGTACTTTGATGTCATACACCGATCAATCTTCAAGTCGAACACACCTCTTTACTCTCGCGTGTCACGTGAACAAGTGTAATCGCAGCCTCTGTGATTGAAAAATCGTGTTTTTTCATATTGCGATATTATCGCACATGCAATTAATCGTTCAGCCCTACATACAAGCAAGCCAATAAAATAACTCAAATACTTTTTTAAGAAATTATGTTCCGCAAGAGCACACTCAATTGACCAAATTGACAGTAAAAACATTTATAATGTAACAAAATATATTTGGAATATTTTAAATTCAAAAGAGTCAGTTTCCTTAAAAATATTAATCAGCACAACTGTTTTCATTTGATAATAATACGAAATGTTACTTGAGCACCAACTCAGCATATAGAATGATTTCTGAAGGATCACTACCTTTCCAAACTTTTGAACGTAGTGCGCAAGAGCATGAAATATTGATTTATTTAGAAATGAGCAATGTAGTAAGTTTGAAAATGTACAGTCCGCTGATCATTACTGCAAAGTAACCCTCTTCCTAACCACACATTATCCTTCAAATATAAAATGCTGAAGATTTGTGCAATAAATAATAAAAAATCAGTCACCTGATCATAAGATCTACGAGGAAGGTGTAGCCCTGACACATGCGGAAGTCATCCAGGAGTGCCTGAGAGACATCACTCGAATCCTTCAAAAAACAGGAGAGCCCAGCAAACATCTCCACAATCTCCAGAGGAGAGAGGTCATCTGACTGCTGCATGTTCTGGATGCACGTTGACAAGCACTCTTTCTCTGCAAGAAAGAGCCAGAACAAATATTGTCATTTTTAAAGCGGTTTTAACTTTTTTTGCAGTAAACCAAAAAAATGCCTAAACACAACATTTCCACATTCACATACTTCAAAGGACTTAAATCCATCTTAAGGGCCAAGATTTGAGCATTGACCCATTAACTGCAGAGCAATTCTTGGCAAAAGTGTCTGCAAACACTGACCTCTAAAAATGCTTCAAGCACAACAGTGAGTGACAGTAACCGGTTACATAAGGTTAAAATGTTACTAGGGTTCATAAGATGCCAGCAGCAAAACATTGTTAGTATTATGCATCCATGCACAGCAACGGCAAAGAACCAACTCAAATCATCACAGAAGTCAAAAAGTACATATTGAAAGAAGTCAAATCATCACAGCAACTTACCGTGGATGTACTTGACGACGTTAACGCTGAGCCCATGTCGGGAGATGGTGGTAAGCACTTCTCCGGCGCTTTTCCTCCAGGGAAGGTTGTGGGGGGGACACCAGGAGGTGATGGCACTGAAGAGCAGCTGTAGATCATCCTTCTGGGCCAGCTCTTCTGCTGGAGACACGTAGCTGCACAGCTTCACAAGGATCTGAGAAGAAAAAGTCACAGTTGGTCTCAATATGTATACTTTATGTATATTTTGTGGAGAAAACACGGTTCCTAAAGACAGACAGACCTGGACAAAGACTTTCTGTAGAAGAGCTCTGCGGTCCGCCAGAGGAAGCTCAGTCTGGGTGGCAGCAGGAACCTCGGGCATGTGGGGCAGGTCAAAAAACAAATATAGACACTTCACCAGTGTGGAGGGCACCGACATGGTGGTCATACAGTCCACTGTTTTCTGTAGAAACATAGAAGGGGAAGGAATCAAATTCAGCTAATGAGCAGATCATGTTTTTTTATGTATTCGAATACGAATAACTGGCAACCTGTTTAATATTCTACAATTCTGTTAACAGATAGACTAGTCACTTTGGATTAAATAGCAATCCTATGAAACACAGTGTTTAAAACCTCATAATCATCATTAGATAGCTTACTGAATGGTAAAACAAGGATTATAACAGTTTTAAACTCAAGATTGAGGTGCAACTTGAACAACTTTTATTTGAATAACCTATTTTCTTTTACTACAAATGATTATACGCTACCGTTCAAAAGTTTGGGGTCGGTAAGATTTTTTACGTTTTTTGAAAGAAGTCTCTTATGCTCACCAAAGCTGCATTTGTTTAATCCAAAATACAGTAAAAACAGCAATATTGTGAAATATTCTTAAAATGTAACGGCTTTCTATATTAATATATATTTTAATTTTTAAATAGAATACATATTTTAAAAGAAACTGAACAGTAATGCAAATACTTAATTACAACCTTTATTGTCTAAATCCAATAAACTATGTGTACTGATAAAAGACTAGAAGATATACAGTAAACCTAAACTTACATGATGTGTGCAGTGCATCTCATTACACAGTCTGGGTCTAAGGACCTTTGTGAAACCCTGATAAGCATACATGGGAGATCAGTGATGTCATCACTCTGCACTAAAGGGGCTCAGGTGGACGTGACTGAAACGAAATGCTGCAGGTGGGTCAGAGCTTCGCTTTTCACTGCCATGTCACCTGCAGCAGTCTCACCTGACACTAATCAGAGCAGGATCCTGCTGCCGGTGCCAATGAAACACTGATGAGAGGATAAAATCCCATCAGCCACTTTTAAAGCAAGTCAGGAAGTGGTAGGAATCAGCTCAATCCGGCCAATAATTCTCTCTCTCTCTCTCTCACACATAAACACACACACAGCCCAAGCACTTTTTTCATTGCAGGTCCAGTCTGCAGCAGTGTGCACGGGCCGTCACATAAAAACCTGTTATTAATAGGGATGTAACGATTCACTGAAGTCACGATTCGATTCGATTCACAATTTTGATTTCACGATTTATTTATTTTTTTTTACAAATTTAAGACAAATAAATGAAATGTGTCCTTTTATTATTGCTCGGACAAAATGTTGCACGTTTCTTTGTGAAATTGAAATATAACACTATAACAATATACAGATTCACTCTCTGCCAGCAGGTGGTGCTTAAAGCGTTTCTGCTGTAAATATAGCAGCGCTGCACTTAGATCTATACAAGATGAAAAGAAAAAAATACCATCTAAACTTTTCTAAAGACAGTAAGTTCCCCTCAGACATACATTCATATAAACTCCTACCCCTAACTGAATCGCGATTTGTTTAGCATCTCAAACGATTTGAATCGTTACATATTTGAATCGATTTTCAACCGGCTTGCAGTTAACCGTTACATCCCTAGTTATTAACAATCAAAAATGCTCACAAAACATTTATTCTTATCATTGTCGAAAAAAGTTCTGCTGCTTAATATTTTTATTGAAATTATAATTTTTTCCAGAAAGAATAAAAAGCTCAAAAGATCAGCATTTTTTTGGGGGGAACATTATAAATGTCTTGGTCACTTTTGATCAATTTAATTGCACCCTTGCTGAATTAAAGTATTAATTTTGTAAAAACATAAATAAATAAATAAATTACTGACTCCAAACCTTTAAACAATATTGCAGTTATCAATCTAGTTATCGTTCTTGGTGTGAACAGGTCTTAAGAGAAGGCAAAAGAATCCCAGCAGTGCCAAACCTTAATGGAGGATGCATTACAGCACAGTCACATTCAATGCTTTCATAAGAATGAGACAGCAAAACAGAAGATTAATCACTTCTGCATTTTCATTCCAGTAAACACACTACGTGCACAAACAATAAATCATACCACTCTCTGTCAAATCAATAAAATCCACTATTTAGCAACATTAATCGTCTTTTACATACAAATTAAGAACAGTTACACTAATAAAGCCTCTCAGGCAAAAGGTCCATGTGTGAGAGAAATTGAACCAGTTGGACTTCATAAAGCCCCCGTTACGGCAGATGGTCAAGACTTGAAATAGCTCTCTCTGTAGTAGATAACCTCAACACTGAAGAGAAGCTAGCGGACAATGTGGTCTAGGGTCAAGTGTACATGACACCTACAGCCACTAAATGATGATGTCTGACAGAAAAACACCAATGGAAGAGGGAAAAAGCAGGAGGACTTCTCACAGACCACAACGCAGAGGAAGATGTGACAAGAGAGACGGCGTCCGTGAGGGTGAATTGAGGGTGCATTGGGAATGTAGAGCATGAAGGGCGTCCTTACAGCGAGAAAAGAAAAGATCTTTGTTGTATCCGAGGGGCGGAGGGTGTTGCCAAGAGCACCAGTTTTTGTCTGTAACTCACAGCTTAGAATACAAACATATGTCATCCCTCAAAAACTTGTTTCACTTCTCAAATCTAGAGCCTTCTGCCTGAAAAGATAATGGTGCATGTTCAAATAATTCAAGTTCATCCTCTGGATTTTGACAAGCTCTAAATTGTGCCATATCACTGGATCCGCATTTCAAAAGGTCTGCATTTAGGAGGTGGAAAGGTGTTTTGTGTGTAGTGCAGCATGGAGATTTTATCAGAAGTTGTTTTCATTATATATTCACAGTAAAGCAGAAAGAGGGAGTAGGAAATGCAAAAATAGGCAGTGTGTGCGTAAGAGAAAGGGCACTTATTAGGCCACAGGAAATCTACACTTCTGCACTCCATCTTTAAGTGCACAATTTCTTTTCAGTGTTTTATGGAGGTAAATGATCCTTAAGGATTATATGAACCAAAATAAAATTAGAGCTAACAACAGACTTGAGAGAGATTTGAGCGTGCTGGCAAAACTTCAGCAAATTAATGAGATCCTACTTTATTAAACCAGGCCAACACAAACAACTTGTACTGCAGGAAAATAACCATACAAAATCACAAGGAGACATGAACATTAAAAAAGGGCTAATTATAATAGTAGTGGTCGACCGATATTGGTTTTTTGACAGCCGATGCCGATATCTTGGAAAGCAGGGTGGCCGATGGCCGATATAATTTTATTTATTTTAATTAATGTTTAAGAAATTTCAAATCATTTGAAAATGTGTTAAATAAACATACTTATACTTTAGGTGACAAAGTATTTTTCACAAATAAATAAATATTTAATAAATAATATAATAAAAAAGGAAGTAAACGCTGTAACCAACAGGGCACTCAGTATTCTTGGAAGTTTGTGTGGATTAGGAATTGAGAATCATATTTTTTCAAATAAAGCCAAGGTAACACTCATTTTACATACAGAACACAGTGGAAATGACATGAATATGGCAGTGGGCAAATGCATAAAGCGCAGCATAATTTGAAATCACGAGTTTAAAGTTTGTTGATCGCGCGTCTCCAGTGAAGCTGAACTATACACATGTCCACATTCAATTCACACGGATCGACCGTCACGCAGAGAGCACGCGATCATGCAGGATACAAATGCACACTTCACAAGATCTCACAACTGGAT